AGACAGTGACTATTTTTTTTACTGTATTTAAAATAAAACATGTCTATCTTATATATTAAATGAAAAAAAGACGCTAAAAATATTATGCATGTGACATTATTTTAATTATTATGATTTTTTTTTCTTTTCCAGGTTAAACGGTTGATTTTTAAAATAGTTCTGTTTATTATTCTATTGCAATTATTTTGTCAAGTAATAAAATATATTTAAAAAATAGTTTGTTTTGTTCACTTTTGAACTAAAAAAATATTTATATTTTAAAAGTATACCTAAATATAATTTAGATAATGCAATTATAAACCTTCGTTAATTTAATCAAATCCGAAACATTTTCTATGCAAATCGGAATACTTTACTTTTTATTTAATTCCTCTTCCATTTCTTTCAAACTAATCATTCACTTTCTACATCAAATTAAACAAAACGTTAATCTAAATGTCAAACCAAACATGGAAAAGTATTAAAATAAATTTTTTAAAAAATATTAAGACTGGCATTCTTTTGGATGCCAACAGACAACATTTATTGTAAATTTCATCAAGTGTATATAAATTTCATTTAAAACACGTTTCAATTTCAGTTAAGAAAACGTGTTTTATTAAAAAAAAAATAGAAAAAAAAATAGAAAAAAAAAAACACCGGTATATTTAAAAACAGTAAAATATTTTTATTATGAGCGGATATTTAAAGGAAAAGAAAAAGAAAAGAAAAAAAATAGAGAGTGGTGGTTATATCCGGAAGCAGTTGTCTGAACAGAACACGAGGCAGTGATTTTAGATATATATACAGAAGAAGAAAGGAGAAGAGAAGAGAAAAAGAAAAGAACGAAACAAGTGTTACTTACTTTCTTACTTACTTTCCTTACATCCAAGCTTTGATATTATCGAACTTCTTCGTGATCACACTCTCGCACCAATTCCATGGCTGCTGCTGTTCCCACCTCTTTCGTTCTAACCAAATCTGGTATCTTTCTCTCCGATTCTTCTTTTTTCCTTTTCAATATTATTCATTCTTTGCTTTATCTCTCTTTAGTTACTTCCAAGATTTTTAATTTTTACCTGTTCATGACAAAATTCCGCCATAGATAACCCAAGAACCGTTTCCCCTTATTTCGATCTCACCACAATCACAAATCTTTTATGTTTTTTTTTCACGGTTCATTAGGGTATTACAGTCTCACTGATTTATCATGAGCTTTTCTTGGGGTCTGTGTTCGAAGACAAATTGGATTTCACCGGCTGTTACTTGTCAAGATAATCTATTCAATTCTTGTTTTTCTTGCTTCTTGTTTGACGGGGAAGGGGGAGATGCGTGATATTTAAGATTTCCTTTGGACTTGTTTCATGCAATGTTGGCATATTTCTGTACAACATTAGTGGTGCTTTCTATACTATTGCTTCCTCCATTTATTATTCTTTTAACCCGAAAGAACATGTCTCGCTTTCTAGCTTCTATACTGTGGAACTAGACTCGTCTTGTGTTTGAGTGTGTGTTTGTTTTCCTAATCGAGCATCTTGTTTTAAAACTCTTTACTGTTGCAAAAACTTTTACCAGCATCGTCCATAAACAAGGTGGACCACTCTCTGGTCAAGATTAAACCATACAACTCCCGTCTGAATCTAAATCGTCAAAGGGCTCTAACAATCCAAGCTACATATAGGTATTTCTTTTTGTTCTTGTGACTTTGTTATGACTGCTTTCTGTAGTCTGTCTTCATGAATGCTCTCAATTAGATGGGAAATATTGCTTTATAAATGTTATTCCTTTCGTTTCTTTGCAAGTGTTCTTCTAGAGAAACCAAGAGATGTAATAAGTTTTCTTGATTTTAATACAATATTTATAAGATTTCTGTTTAATCATTTTCATTTATAAATAACAATATGTAAACTAATTAAATATTAGGGGAAATATAATAGTATAAATGAAAAAGAAAAAGATTAATTAACGCCGTGTTGAACTTTGAAAGTGATAGTTTAGTAAAAACCAAAATCTTCAAGAAATGCGATACTTAAAAAGGAACAGAGGGAGTAGTTGTTATGCAAACAATACATGATAGTGATGATTAGATAGAAGTTGTGAACAGAAACATGGTTAAGCACCTTTTTTGGGAACTTTTGTTTGGTCACATTTGGACTCAAACAAATGCATGTTTGATCAAGAGTATTAATTTAACTTAAATGAGCTAACAATTTAAAAGGAGTTTAATACTTCATCCAATTATAAATGACCGTGTAAAGTAAATTTATAGACTTGATAACTATTTTAGAAGCTGTACCTAGAATGATTTCTGATTGGTCTACAGTGTAAAATTATTGACAAAGCGTGAAAATCAAACCCTTTAAATATTTGTAATCAAACCCTTTAAACATTTGTAATCAAACCCTTTAAATAATAATCACAAGTTCACGACTCTAAGGAAAACATAGCTTAAAGAGGAAGAAACAGAACATCAGAAATATTCTTGAATGATAAAAAGAATTGACTGTGGAAGTTGTTTGATGAATATTTGCGATTAACCTGACCTCTGCTTCCTTTGGCACTACAGTGATGGTGGAAGGCCCAGCAGTGCTGGTATATTTGTTGGTGGGTTTGTCTTGGGAGGGTTAATAGTTGGCACTCTCGGTTGCGTGTATGCACCTCAGGTAGTATTTGCTACTGAAATATACTTTTTCAAGTGCTAGATATTGGTGTCTAACGGGATACGTTCAGATGTTTTTCTTGCTCAAAAACTCATCAATTATGTGACTGCATACTGGAATTAAATTGGTTAACTGCTTGTATTTATCCGGTCAACAACGTATGTAGCATAAATAGAAGTAGTTGGCTTTGCGCATATTTAAAAATTTAAAGATATCAGGAAGTGCATTGTAATTTTTTCTTCAAAATTTATATGATGAAGATCGGTATTTTTTTTTTATTGCTTGAGTATTATTTTATTTTATTATTCCACAGATCAGTAAGGCCATAGCTGGCGCTGACAGGAAGGAGTTGATGAGAAAATTACCAAAGTTTATATATGATGAGGAAAAGGCTTTAGAGGTGAGCAGTTGCTTGCTCTTGATACCATCCATCATGTTTATCTTATAAGGGATTCTTGCCAAAGTTGATATTGCTGCAGGCTTTTGCTGGGAGGCCATAACTGTTGTGTGATTAATTTCATTGTTCTCCTTATCAATTTTACTTTAGACTCTTATATGCCAGATTTATATAATTATTGTTCTACTGTTGGAAAAGGTTACGTCCAATTATGTCCTAATACTATGTGGGGAATTGCACCTGTACTTGCTGCAACATGTTGGTTTTAAGAGAGGGTATTACTTCAATGACTAGCAAAATTTGCTTGCTTGATTTGCAGAAAACCAGGAAAGTTCTGGCTGAGAAGATTGAACAACTGAATGCTGCCATAGATGATGTTTCTTCACAGCTACGTTCAGAGGAGGCCTCAAATGGAGTAGCTGTTAATTCTGATGAAATTGAAGCTGCCACATGAGACTGCTGCCGAGTGCTGTGATGTCATAGTACAGAATGTGCCATTGCTCTTTTCAGTAAACAATCTTTTATTGGTGCAAAGTGTATTTTGATTTTATTGTAATATCTTTCTATTTCTTAATAATAAACTCTGATTTTCTGATAATGGCTGCCGCTACTGTGGGTAAAATAGTCGTTACGCTTTTATGGCTGATTTCTTGTGTTCTATCAGCCATTTCCATTTCTTGTGTACCATGATGGGCATGGTACTGGAGCAACGCTGGTCGTTTTCTGGTTCGGATCATTTAATAATCCTGGTTTGATGATTGTTAATACTAGGATCTTGTTACTTTTGCTGTCACCATGAATTCGATGAATGTTGATCTATATGTTTATGTTGTTAATCGTACTTAGACAATAACACTTGAACAAGCATTGTGAAAACAATTTAATTAGATTGCATCCCATTATCCTGAAGTAAAAATTGTTATAATTTTATACTGCATCAAAATCAAACATGTCTTTAGAAAGAAAAAACGAATCGTGCTTGAAGTTGTTTTTATCACAAATTAATTGACTAATTAACACGAGTAAGCCTCATAAAGCTTCTTTCCATATTCATCACATGTTTTAGCTTTTATATATGTTACCATGAGGATTACACGACTAATATTTGGATAATTGTTTTCAGGATTTTTATAAATAAAAATAATAAATTTCTAAAAGAATTAAATCCTACTTATAAATGAGTTATTTTTAATTTATAAAAAAAGTAAACTTACTTTCACTGTTAAGAGTCTTAGGATAAATTTATCCAATTAGACTCTTGTTTGTTTATTTATGTTTCACAGAGGCACTTTCGGAAATGAAAATATAAAAAATTAGATTAATTGAAAATATATAAACATAAATTAAAATTCTAAACAAGAAGTGGCATATTATTTAATTGTTGTTTATTTACAATTTAGTATTTTTTTTTCCATTTTTTTTTGGTTTCTCGTTGTAATTGATTTTTTTTATACAAACTTTTTTTCATGCTAATGAAACGGTACCTGTTATCTTTTACTGCCCAAATTCTTATTACTCATGAATCAAGGTAACAGTGCTGAAAATTATGGGTAATTTACTGAAAATAGTAAGGCTTTATTTTGTGTTTGTTTCAGTCTTTTACCAAAGAGTAAAATACTTACAGTGTAAATTGGAGATAAGCCTACAAGGCAGCATTGAAGTGATGAACAGTTTGTTGATATTTTCAATTATAATTTTTATTAGAAACAAATGCCTTGACGCATTTTAATTTAGTCTGAAGGGAATAAAATAACAACTTTATTTTTTTAAAATAAGTTATTTATTAATATTTCCAAATTACTTTAATTTTAAATAAAAATGAAAAATAGTTATTTACTATTTCACCTTGTTCTTATGTTACACTGATTTACTTCACGCCTATACAATGAAATTATCCACTCTTAAAGGTGGGAGTGCTNAAAAGAATTGACTGTGGAAGTTGTTTGATGAATATTTGCGATTAACCTGACCTCTGCTTCCTTTGGCACTACAGTGATGGTGGAAGGCCCAGCAGTGCTGGTATATTTGTTGGTGGGTTTGTCTTGGGAGGGTTAATAGTTGGCACTCTCGGTTGCGTGTATGCACCTCAGGTAGTATTTGCTACTGAAATATACTTTTTCAAGTGCTAGATATTGGTGTCTAACGGGATACGTTCAGATGTTTTTCTTGCTCAAAAACTCATCAATTATGTGACTGCATACTGGAATTAAATTGGTTAACTGCTTGTATTTATCCGGTCAACAACGTATGTAGCATAAATAGAAGTAGTTGGCTTTGCGCATATTTAAAAATTTAAAGATATCAGGAAGTGCATTGTAATTTTTTCTTCAAAATTTATATGATGAAGATCGGTATTTTTTTTTTATTGCTTGAGTATTATTTTATTTTATTATTCCACAGATCAGTAAGGCCATAGCTGGCGCTGACAGGAAGGAGTTGATGAGAAAATTACCAAAGTTTATATATGATGAGGAAAAGGCTTTAGAGGTGAGCAGTTGCTTGCTCTTGATACCATCCATCATGTTTATCTTATAAGGGATTCTTGCCAAAGTTGATATTGCTGCAGGCTTTTGCTGGGAGGCCATAACTGTTGTGTGATTAATTTCATTGTTCTCCTTATCAATTTTACTTTAGACTCTTATATGCCAGATTTATATAATTATTGTTCTACTGTTGGAAAAGGTTACGTCCAATTATGTCCTAATACTATGTGGGGAATTGCACCTGTACTTGCTGCAACATGTTGGTTTTAAGAGAGGGTATTACTTCAATGACTAGCAAAATTTGCTTGCTTGATTTGCAGAAAACCAGGAAAGTTCTGGCTGAGAAGATTGAACAACTGAATGCTGCCATAGATGATGTTTCTTCACAGCTACGTTCAGAGGAGGCCTCAAATGGAGTAGCTGTTAATTCTGATGAAATTGAAGCTGCCACATGAGACTGCTGCCGAGTGCTGTGATGTCATAGTACAGAATGTGCCATTGCTCTTTTCAGTAAACAATCTTTTATTGGTGCAAAGTGTATTTTGATTTTATTGTAATATCTTTCTATTTCTTAATAATAAACTCTGATTTTCTGATAATGGCTGCCGCTACTGTGGGTAAAATAGTCGTTACGCTTTTATGGCTGATTTCTTGTGTTCTATCAGCCATTTCCATTTCTTGTGTACCATGATGGGCATGGTACTGGAGCAACGCTGGTCGTTTTCTGGTTCGGATCATTTAATAATCCTGGTTTGATGATTGTTAATACTAGGATCTTGTTACTTTTGCTGTCACCATGAATTCGATGAATGTTGATCTATATGTTTATGTTGTTAATCGTACTTAGACAATAACACTTGAACAAGCATTGTGAAAACAATTTAATTAGATTGCATCCCATTATCCTGAAGTAAAAATTGTTATAATTTTATACTGCATCAAAATCAAACATGTCTTTAGAAAGAAAAAACGAATCGTGCTTGAAGTTGTTTTTATCACAAATTAATTGACTAATTAACACGAGTAAGCCTCATAAAGCTTCTTTCCATATTCATCACATGTTTTAGCTTTTATATATGTTACCATGAGGATTACACGACTAATATTTGGATAATTGTTTTCAGGATTTTTATAAATAAAAATAATAAATTTCTAAAAGAATTAAATCCTACTTATAAATGAGTTATTTTTAATTTATAAAAAAAGTAAACTTACTTTCACTGTTAAGAGTCTTAGGATAAATTTATCCAATTAGACTCTTGTTTGTTTATTTATGTTTCACAGAGGCACTTTCGGAAATGAAAATATAAAAAATTAGATTAATTGAAAATATATAAACATAAATTAAAATTCTAAACAAGAAGTGGCATATTATTTAATTGTTGTTTATTTACAATTTAGTATTTTTTTTTCCATTTTTTTTTGGTTTCTCGTTGTAATTGATTTTTTTTATACAAACTTTTTTTCATGCTAATGAAACGGTACCTGTTATCTTTTACTGCCCAAATTCTTATTACTCATGAATCAAGGTAACAGTGCTGAAAATTATGGGTAATTTACTGAAAATAGTAAGGCTTTATTTTGTGTTTGTTTCAGTCTTTTACCAAAGAGTAAAATACTTACAGTGTAAATTGGAGATAAGCCTACAAGGCAGCATTGAAGTGATGAACAGTTTGTTGATATTTTCAATTATAATTTTTATTAGAAACAAATGCCTTGACGCATTTTAATTTAGTCTGAAGGGAATAAAATAACAACTTTATTTTTTTAAAATAAGTTATTTATTAATATTTCCAAATTACTTTAATTTTAAATAAAAATGAAAAATAGTTATTTACTATTTCACCTTGTTCTTATGTTACACTGATTTACTTCACGCCTATACAATGAAATTATCCACTCTTAAAGGTGGGAGTGCTATCTGTTGTGCAGTATTTCTCCCACGTGATCCTTTAGATTTTTATATTACCAAAAAAGTTTCACACTACCAGTTCAGTTTTTTTTTAATATATTTTATTTTTCAATAATTTCACTACGTTAAAAATAATTATTCGTAATTTTTAGTATCCTAATTTGAATCAATGTTATCTGTGTAGATACTTAACAGGAGCTAGTTTGTAGATGGAAACGTGTGGATGCAAAGTAAGCTTTGTGATGGCCAAAAATGGAAAAAAGAAAAAATAATTTCCTGTTGAGAAAGTAATGAACGGCCATAATAAGGATACGTGGCTAAAAATATGAAGTGGCAATATTGAAAAACATTGAGCTCCAAACATTATCTTATCCCATAGATTTTCTCACATCTTATTCACCACTCATTCCCGTTACTCCCCAGCAACCATAATTTTCCTTCTTTTTTTCTTTTATGACAATCTGCAAAGAATAAAACAAGAGGAGGAAATGCAACTTTGTTGCTGATATATACATTCTGACACAGAGTTCTAGCACACCCTTGTTGCAGCCATGGCCTCTCATGCGGCTCTAGCTTCCACAAGGATCCCCACAAACACCAGGTTCCCATCCAAGGCTTCTCACTCTTTCCCAACCCATTGCACCTCAAAGGTCCATTTTTTGCATTATCTTCTTTCACTTTAATATGTCTGCACACTGTCTCATACATTTCACTTAGCTTCTGCAGAAACTTGAGCTGACAGAATTCTCTGGGCTAAGATCCTCTTCATGTGTCACCTACGCTAACAATGCTAGGGAATCTTCCTTTTTTGATACCGTGGTTGCCCAACTCACTCCCAAGGTTATTATCTTATGACAGTTATTTCCTGCTTGTATAGATTATATATATATCTATAGATAACAAGCTCTTACTTTCTGTGTTTTTTACAAAATGTTACATTCACTACATCTATGATATAGAAACCATGAGAAATGAACGAGAAATGAACGAGAAATGTTATCTGTATAACACCTAGAGAGAAATAGGAGACTTTGTCGTACATGTTTTATGGTATTACTGGTATCTGTAGTAATGAAAACTCTTGTTTGCCAATAAAAAAAGTATTTTTGTATAGAACAATGTAACAGTTGTATGAATAATGCATGGCTTCTTAGTTATTTCTTTATGTCTGTTTCTACTTCTAATTTGCAAACTAAAAGCAGACCAATGGATCCACTCCTGTGAGAGGAGAAACAGTGGCCAAGTTGAAGGTGGCAATCAATGGTTTTGGACGAATTGGCAGAAACTTTCTTCGTTGCTGGCACGGCCGAAAAGACTCACCCCTTGATGTTGTTGTTGTCAACGACAGTGGTGGTGTCAAGAATGTAAGTCATTTAACTGTCTTGGCTTAGCTGGTTTTATTGGCACAGATATTTTTGTTTCACTAATTCTGCTTCACATAATGATCCAGGCTTCACACCTGTTGAAATATGATTCTATGCTGGGAACATTTAAAGCAGATGTGAAGATACTAGACAATGAAACCATCACCGTTGATGGTAAGCCCATCAAGGTTGTTTCAAGCAGAGATCCTCTCAAGCTTCCTTGGGCTGAACTAGGAATTGACATTGTTATTGAGGTAACCTCCATTACTTGATTTATCTTAAACATCCTGTAATGAATTAAAGAATGAATGAACTTTTGTTCAGGGAACTGGAGTGTTTGTGGATGGCCCTGGGGCTGGCAAACACATCCAAGCAGGTGCCAAGAAAGTTATTATCACTGCTCCTGCAAAGGGTGCTGACATTCCAACCTATGTTGTTGGAGTAAATGAAGGGGACTACACTCATGAGATCGCTAACATTATAAGGTCTGTGACACTGAACATTGTTTTTGTGCCACTGAACTGATTATTCATATTGTATCCTGCTGCTTCTTGTTTTTTCTTATTGTTTCTTCAATGTGCAGCAATGCTTCTTGCACCACAAACTGTCTTGCTCCCTTTGTGAAGATCTTGGATGAAGAGTTTGGTAAGAAAACACTGATCACACTGGCAGTTATTATTTAAGAGAGATGTTACAGGCTCAAAATCACTTCCCTTTGGTCTATGTTTCCAGGAATAGTGAAGGGAACAATGACAACCACTCACTCCTACACAGGAGACCAGGTACAAGATCGATCAACCACTGGTTTGACCATGCATTTGTAATTATATAACTATGATTTAAACGTCTCGGTTAAATATAGAGAAATGATATCATCAATATGATCAAGTATCATGTGGTTGTGCAGAGGCTTTTGGATGCTTCACACCGTGACTTGAGACGAGCCAGGGCTGCAGCACTGAAAATTGTCCCAACCAGCACTGGAGCTGCGAAGGCTGTGTCTCTGGTGCTGCCACAGCTGAAGGGGAAGCTGAATGGCATTGCACTCCGTGTGCCTACACCCAATGTTTCAGTTGTTGACCTTGTGGTGAATGTTGAGAAGAAGGGTCTCACTGCTGAAGATGTGAATGGAGCATTCAGAAAGGCTGCAGAGGGGCCATTGAAAGGTGTTCTGGATGTGTGTGATGTTCCACTGGTCTCCATTGACTTCCGCTGCTCTGATGTTTCTTCCACCATAGATTCCTCCTTGACCATGGTCATGGGAGAAGACATGGTTAAGGTGGTTGCTTGGTATGACAATGAATGGGGTTACAGGTTAGTTAGTTCACTCTACTTATATGTCAGATTTCTTACAACATCAAGAAAATGAGTATCAACATTGTGTTTTTGATGATAATTATGAATTGATATTTAGAACATTGGTGATTGCAGCCAAAGAGTTGTGGATTTGGCACATCTAGTAGCAAGCAAGTGGCCAGGAACACCAAAAGCAGGGAGTGGAGACCCATTGGAGGAATTCTGCGAGACAAACCCTGCTGATGAGGAATGCAAAGTTTATGAATAGAGGATCGCCATTAGCAGCAGCAACCCATTTTTACTCTTTCTTTACCTTTACCTTGTGTTAAGCGTATCATGTGAAAAAGAAGGATCTTTTTCAGACAGACAGTGTCTGAGGGCAGATTTTCAAAGTTTAAATTTATCTGTAGCCAATAAGTTTTGGCGTGATTCATGTTCATGAATACCACCCATATATTGATTCATATTGCATTTCTTAATTCTTGTGACAGAGTTACATAACTCAAAAACAAGGGCTCCCTGTAACTTTGATGGGAATAATTCAGTGTTGACCACAAGACTCCCTGTCTCCCTGACATGGCTCACGGTTCCATCACCATAACTGGTTTGAGTTTGCTTTTACAGCCACCATCTCTTCTTTTTGCTTCATTTGCAATCTCACCATAACAAAGACACAAACACCAAAAAAAGAGAAAATTTATCCGTAAATTTTCAACTGTTGTATAGTTATAATTTGTAAAGAAATAGATAAATCATAAGATAGTTACAGTAGATTATATGAAAAGACTAGTTAGAAATATTTTATTATTATTGAAGGTTAGATAGGACAAATTTTATTATAATTATATTGTTAATATATTATAAGATTATATAACAAATATAAAAATATTAAATTTTTAATATAAAAGTAAAATAAAACATCTAGTTAAAAATATTCAAATAATAAATAAAATAGAAGGTTATAAAATAATCTATGTAAACATATTATTATTTTAAAATATAATATTTTGTTTAATATTATTCTTTATTTTAATTTAAATTTTATCTTACCTCTAATTTATATTTTAAAAATACGTTATATATCAAATTATTTAAAAAATATATTTTATAAACTTTTTAAATATATATTAACAAAATTGTTCTATTTCATCAATCAAAATACAAAATTTTTGTTCGTTTCTTTTTCTCTTATCTTTTCTACTTCAAATCCAAACAAAACATAAGTTAACAAAATTGTTTTATTCCATTAATAAAATCAATTATAAATTGCAAATCTTTTATTCTTCTTTACTCACTTCTTACTTTCGTCACTTTTAATTTTTTTTATTTAAAAAATTATAGAAAAATTAAAAGGTGTACATACATATATCATGTTCCTATAAAAAAGACAGAAAAATCTTTTTTCTCTATCTGTATTTAGAACATCTTAAAATGTGTAAATACAATAGCATGTAACAGAACTACCTATGTGATGTGTTAACACTTCATAACATGTTCTCCGGCCGAGGAAAACTTATAACTATGAACATTAGCAATGCTGAGTGTTGGGATTTTTGCTGTAACAGCACTGCTAAATATCAATAAAAAATCAATGACATCAAAGTGTTAAGTTGAATTAGGTGCCATTTCTGTTTGTAGTTTGTAGTTGTAGTTGTACCCTCTTTGGCTGTCTTACCAGTTGATCTTCAAGTGATCTTTCTCTCTTTCTTCCATTACTCGTTGGTGGATCTTCTTTCTCGTCAATGAGCGAGAGAAATCTCTGAAAACGACCAGAAATTGACCAGGCAGTAGTAGAAGGTGGAGGTTCAGAAGGAGGAGATTTCCATAACTGGAACATGATCTGCAAAAAATGCAAAAGAAGAGCAACAAAGCAAGCTATCCCACAAATGAGAAATAGACCCCAGAAGCTTTTAAGCTGAAGACGATCTGAATCGATTTCAGCATTGTCTAAACAAGAGCTTCGTGTCATCCACTTGTCATGAATCCGCTGTAGATCACCCGTTTCAGAAAGTTGTAGAATGGCTGTTGACATATCCTCAGCCAAAGGGGAGTCCCGAGGGAATGCCTGACAGGCCAACAAAACCAGAATCATGATTCTCATAACCAAAAAGTAACATTTGACAACCTTTTATAGGAGTAAAATGATCGTAACAAATGAGTTCATCTAATGCATATATATTAGGATTTCAGAAATTATGGATCTAAAAGTAGAGAACTAGAGGTACTCACAAAGCCCCAGCCACTTCTGGTGAACTCCTGACCAACAATTCTGAAGGTGCACTGGCTTGATAAGAATATTTCAACATAAGGTCGTTCATCAACAATAGCAGCAACACCTCCTCTTTTTTTAGGACCAAGCTTTAGGGCCATAGCATATTCTTCAGGAGTTCCAAGGGCAATAAGCCTGGATTTGGATATTCCAATATCTTGAGTCAAGTAATGTTCTGCAAATGAACCAACTTGGTATCCTATAGGTTCATCACCAGCCTTTAAGCTATCTATTCCACTGATAGGAGAAGATAACTGCTGCACTGTGAGTATGGATGTTAAACTTGCAGTGTAGCTGGAAGTGAGGATCAATACCACAAATAGCCATAGAAGCATCACAAACCGACCAAGACCACTCATGGTATTCTCTCCTGCAGAAACAATGAATAAAAAAAACAAATAAAAAACTTCATTGTGTCCATCCACCAAACAAAAGAAACCGAGGTTTCACTTACTGTGGGAAAAAAACAGAGTTGACAGGCTAAACCTGCAGGCATTGTTAAAATATGGATCAGACACAAACGAGATCACCCAGTTCAATCATGAAGATGATTCGTATCATGCAATGCAACTACTCCACACAATAGCAAACTGCAACAGTATAAATTCTAAAAACGTGTTCTTTTGCATCCTATTAATAAGCATAATGCCATGAAAATCCAGTAAACATGATGCTACCGAACAGGCAGGTGTTGCAATGTTTCTCTTGGATCACTCACAAGTAAAAGGTATGCAACCATTAAGCCAGGTATAGAAGTAAGATGATCAAGCAAATAACTTACCATAACAAGGTTATAATTTGCTGTCTAGGTGGACCTCTGAACTCATCATTGATCCTGTGTTCCAGAATCCATATAACTATCCCTATGAAAAGGAAGAAACATGCAGTCACAATCCACATAAGAGGAGTAAATGGCTGCAGGAAAGCCCAACCACCAGAATTAATTTTTGTAAATGGGGCCACCACAACAAGTCCCGATGCTGCATATGGTTGTGTAAAATCTACAACCCTTGTCCGATTTGTGACAATAGCAATGTCACCAATGGCACCATCAAAGTACTGTACCAAGAAAATGTACTAATTAGCCAGTTGATTAAAATAACACGCCGCAATATGTTATAGATGATCAGAATTAGGAGACATAAACATACACCAGTTGTGATCAAGCGGACAAGTTCTGTGTAGCTTGGATTTTTGTGTCCGTCTCCAAATGGAACAAATTGGTAAGGAACGGCATAAGGCAACAAGTTCAGAGCTGCTGTGAATACATCAACACAAAAACCTTTGAACATCTCAGTTCCCTTCACTGGTGAGACAAATTCACGATAACTGACTCGGATAGGCACACCAATCCTCAACTGTCTACCATTATTTGGGAAGACCCATCCACGCGGTTTAGAGAATGTTTCTCCAGGCCATATCACACTGTAAAGATTCTGATTCGCACTAGATCTATTAGGTGGCTTTGCATACAGTATCTCAGGAGATACAATTGACAAACCAGAATAGTTGGACCAGTAACCAACCCTCCTAAGGCCACTTCCAACCACATTAAGCACATCATAGGCAGGATGAACGAGAGATCGATCTGCTTCAAATTTCATTCGACCTGATAGTCCAACAAAATCACTCTGCAATATGTTGTTCAGCAGAAGCGTTCCGTTGTCAAAAATGCTCATTGCATCAAGGTTCAAATCACTTCCCTTATCATCACCACCACCCAAACTTGTGTAATTCGTAGACGAAAGAACCCCACCCTGACTGAAAAAATCATCAAGGGCCCGTGCAACAAGCCACACAGAATCATAAGCGTAGAGGCCATAAGAATGTAACCCCAAAGAGCCACCGGTCAACTTGTTCCACCGAGAGACAAATCCCCTTTTTCTATCTGAGTCAGGTGTATGCTGGCGCAGAACAAGTACTCCCTGGAGAACATCCATTGTTTCTGAAGGGAGAGAAGCAGAATCCAAAAGTGAAGAGAGCCAGTCTGTGACTATCCACACGTAGCCATTGTTTGTCATCCCAAGATAACGCGCCACATTGAAAACCATAAAACCATAATCAGTTTGTGCATGGAGAACAATGACTCGAGACTGCATCAGTGCCACTTTCACCAGCAAACTAGTAATTTCTCCCCGGTTGACTTCAGTTCCGGAATTAATCCCTTCCTTGAAGGAGATTCTACAGCGCCTGGCAGCTAGTTCATCGTCCAAAGCAGCCACACCATTCCGTCCATAATCATCATCCACGTATATTGCAATCACCTCCTTCCAACCATAGTAATCAATGATTTCTGCAACAGCCTTCATTTGGTACAGATCACTCTGTGTTGTCCTCACAAAGAAAGGAAACTGCAGCGATGTCAGGGTAGGGTCTGTTGCGGCAAATGACAACAAAGGAACTCGTAGTTCATTTGCAACATGGGATATTATATGCGCAACCACAGAAGATTGTGGTCCTATTATAGCAACCACATCAGTCTCCATGAACCGCAAAGCTGCAATTATCAGTCAAAAAACATACTTATCACCTCTTCTCAGTAACATAAACAATTAACTACATAATTAAAACAAAAAACTCAGATTCAGTTCCAACTGCGTTTTTAGTACTGTCTCTCTAATTAAACAGAATTAGAGTAACAGGGTACCACCCAAGAACAAAGGTTTGCATTAAATGGAAAAATATAATAGCACAGAATCGAATAAATCACCTTGAACCATGCCTAAGAAACCGCTGTAATTGGAATTTTGCATGGTGAGAACAATTTTAGTTCCATGTAGAATGCTAGAGTCGGCGTTAACATCTTTCACGGCTTCCTCCAATGTAATTTTAGCCACTTTCCCTAGAATAGAATCGAGGTTGAAGATTGCTCCAATGTTGACGATGGCGGGTCTCGAGGACGACACGTTTGCAGCCCCCACAAATCCCAGACACCACACCACCCAACAAACCACCCGAAACGAATTCATCTCAATCAACAACGATTTTTCCCTTCAATTTTTTCCTTCAATTTTTCAAGCAGTCACTCCCTGCACTCGATTCCCAAGACAAAAACACCATCTTTACCCGACCCAAAAGAATGGCAGAGAGAAAACAGTAACAGCAACCTCGTACAAACCACCAATCCCATGAAAGTATTTCAAAACTTTAAATGCTTTGCTCCCCACTTAGTGAAACAGAAAAGCGTTTCAGATTTGGGTTCCAGAACAATAACAAGGTTTGATTCAATGGAAACCTGGAAGTCGTGAGTGGTAAGGTTTCACATTTATTAAAAAGGAAGCAAAAGAAAATATGGTTGTTTGGAATTAGTATGTAAACAAAAACGCAAGAAATAGAACAGTACTACTAGATTTAGAAATTGGATAAAAGGGTGAAGAAATTAATTAATGTCGGTTTGTCTTTGTTGAAGTAAAAAAATAATAATGGACTGAAGAACAGAAACAGGTAGTGGATGTGGCGTGGGAGTGGGAGTGGGACTCCCACGGCATCATCTGCAAATTGTAAATAATAAATGATAAAGCTTTTTGTAAGAACCTTATTGCCACCAAGAAAAACCACACACCCTCATCCATCCACGCTTTCACATGTAAGATATGGAAACAACGTTAACTCTTTGAGTTTGAAACTTCCAAGATCCTCCCAAAACTCCATTTTCAATCCTGCTACTGGACCGCCAAACAAGCAAGCAAGAAAAAGAAAAATAAAATTTTTCCCACATATATATATAATATTACTATATACTTTTAGTTTTAATTTAAGTGAACAATCTTTATTTAATTCATGTGCTAGATGGTGGGATGTTTAGATAATAAATTTTATTGTGGGTTGATCGTATGAACAGTAGAACGTTTTAGGTTTAAGACGCGTACTTAACATAATTTTCATGCAAAACGAACATATAAAGTAGATTTGATTGATTTAACTACACTTTTAGAAACTTTAGGCCCTAATATGGCACACATTACAAGAATGAGTTGATGTTTACATTGAATATACGAAAATGAATTTTTCTGGGGTTTTAATTATTTTTGCAGTTATTTTTTCAATATTCTTTCCGTGAGTGCAGTTAAGAAGCTGTCTTCTTTTTCCTGAAACACACCAGGAATAAACTAAACTGACTTTGAACGAATGAACACACCAACCGAATGTTTCATTTTGCTTTGAAAATATCAAATCATGAAGTAAAAACCCTTCCTTTAATTTTATAACTTAAAAATTTGAAATGTAGAGGATGAAAAATATCATAACAAGATGCAAAATTAAGTATAAATCTGAAAAGGTTTGGGTGAGTTAAAAGAAGGAGTTGGTGTGTCCGAGAATAAAGATAAAGGTTTGTATGGGGACAAAGCAAAGACAGAGTCCTTTTCTTCTTTTTATTTGTTTTTTTATTCTTCTTTTTTTCTTTCCTTTCATATCATATGGAGATGAAAACCAAACAATGGTATGAGGTTATTGCCGTTTTTTCTTCGTACACACAAATGCTATGTTGGAGTGATAATTAGTGACATGGAACATAACAAAATAGCAGTCTTTTCAGTCATCTTCTTCTTTTTCCTGCTCTCACGTTCATAAACAGTATTCTTTATTTTGTTTACATAATTTCTAATCTCCTTTCTTCTTCTCTACCTTTCATTTTTTTTCAGAAAGTTAAGATCGAATGTGACCCACTTGCTTCTTTCTACCCTTAAACTATTTTATTATCCTTTAATCTCCTTTTTCATGTATTTTAAACCTTGGTTTAAAATTATATTTTCTTTCACCCTCCTTTTTCTTTTCTTTTTTTATTTTCAATTATTATTTCAAGACTAGTTGCAATTAGTCCATACAAGACATGATGTGTGCCTTGAAGAGAATCTGCAAAATTGAGAAGTAATTATTACAAAGTAGGATAGAAGGTGGTATGGATTTTCTTAATTTCTTCCTTTTTGAATGTGTCATTTATTTTTTTAACTCACCTGGTATTTATAGTATTTGATTTTATATTCTTAAGAAACTTTAATATAACTCTCATAAATTTCTTAGCTTTCATATTTATTGAATGTAATATAATTTATGTTATTTTAATCAATTTTGACTTTACCTGTGCAGTAGCCACACGAGAAATGTGTGTATATGTATATATGTATTATATAAATACATTGTTGACTATAAGATAATCTTTACATATATTCAAAGCTTGTGTACCTTTACTATATATATACATGAATTCATCCATGTGCTAAATGGGATCCTTTAATTCAATGCCCACTCAGATGGGATGTATGTGAAAACACAAAATAAACAAACATTACTCAAATAACTACAATAAGAAAAAAAGTGAACACATCTTCTCCTTGAATCAATGAAACAAACCAAAACAAAGTTGGTGATATAAGATGATTTTATATCTTCCTTAATTACAAATCATAATGCACAATAAGTATAATTTTTATTATAATTATTTGGAAGTTATGTTGTCAATATATAGTCATTAAATTCAATTAATAAAGTGTGAAAGACAGAGAGATGAGTAAATTTTATTAAAAAAATCTTATGGATTAAAAAGGTGAACTTTATAGTATATATTTTTTTCTTTTCCAACAATCAATTATTAGTGTTTTATGTCATTGTACAGGTTTTAAAACCCAAATCAAACAAAAGATTGAACTTTATTATTTACAATATATTTATTTAATTAATTTTATAAAAATATTATTTTAAATAATTTTAAAAGAAAAAAAGCTCTTTGTTTCTTTCCATTACATACCAAATCGAAAGGTTTAATTTCTACAAATAACTGTTTATGATAAAAAAAATTATCTAAAAAATACAAAAACTATCCATAATAAAATTATTAAACTTAATTATATATTATTATAAAAAAAAGTAAACATATATACGTGTAACCGCTAATGTTTTCACTAATAAAAAAGAAAGTTTAATAATATAATTTTTTTTTCATTATTTTAGGTTTTTTACTTGTATTTTGTTTAGCTTATCTTTATTCACAAACATAATATATCTATAATTCCAAATACATTATAGAAATTAAAGAAAAAAGAGAAAAAAAAGAGAGAAACAAGATTATTTAAAGTGATAAAAAAATGAAATAGAAAATTTATAAGGAAAATGTTAGAAAAAATTAAATTTAATTGTATAATATAACTAATTACAAAAGTTTATTAATTATATTTTGAAAAAGGATAAAATATAAATTAGACTTGGAAACAATTAATTATAAAGTAATTAATTTATATAATGAAAATTAATATATTTTTTAAAATATTCTATTTATTTAAATTAAATAGATATGATATTTAATTACAAATGAATTTTTTGCATACAATTTTAAAAAGATAAAAATGTGTTAAAAATTTAATATTTAAAATTAATTTTAAAAACATATTTAATAAAACAATAATATGCAAAAGGAAATTAACATAAGAGAACTACTCTAATAAAGAACAGTACATTTTAATTATTAAACATCCATATGAATTAATATGAAAACAGTCAAAAGAAATATAAATACGTTCATCCAACATAAATACAAACATTACAACAACATAGTACTATGTTTATTAAAATGAAGATACCAAAATATTTACTCATCATTTACACAAATGTTAATTAGATTATATATTAAAATAATATATTTTAATATACATTTTAATAAGAGAGGTAATAGTGTATCATGTTCAACAAGTTTTATATGCATTGTCTATGTACAAATATGAATGAAATCACTAATCATGGTTCTGAGAATCCAATGTATGAACAATAGTTTGATTTAAAAAATAAACATATTTGGGATTATTCCAAGTAGGCAAATTTTTGTTTGATTGAAATGATGCTGTGCATAGTAATAAGTGAGGGCCCTTTTTATGAGTAAGTGTAACATTACTTATAAAAGAGATGTTTTTTTACAGTTGTCTAATGCACGGGAAAATAGAATATATCCATAAATAACAGCTTAGACAATCATTGTTGAAAGAAACAAGAGTCACTTCTAAGTTTTCACCAATCACTAGTGCACAAGCTAAAATAAAAACTAATTAATTCAGTTTCTTAAATTTAGTCTTGAAATGCTCCTCTAAAAAAAATCCTTCTAAGAACATGTTGCAAGAATTTTAAGTTATTCTAGCAATATAAATTATTTGAGTAATTTAATTAAAATATAACATTATTAAATACCATTTTTTGTAAGACAAAAAAATTATACCTGAACCATCATAATCTGAGAAAACATGATAGAAAGTATCTAATACTAAGATCCAGATATAATCATCCTAGGCTCTTGTCTTGGACACGTAGACATAATGATAATCCAAACATTTCAAAACCAATTGTCGCTAAACGCGTGTACTTTCAGAATCCGAGGACTTTCACTTACCTTTACCACGTTTGAAAGGTCAAACCCATCCTCAGCCCTTCATTTCCCTCAACACAGATCCAACGGCTTCCAGGTCATACATAACATCCAATACAAACTCTCCACGTGCGTCATTCTCCATCAGAACCGCCATAGACACAACATGTTAACCTGGAATCCCCGGTCACACGGTGCGTAGGTTTCCGTTCTGTTTGTCTCACCCTGATTTTGTTGGAACAATAGTAATATAGCAACATCGATTTAGGTTTTCTTCCTTCTTTCATCGATTCAAGACAACAACAGTGTTTTGTTTTTTTAGGTGGCTCGCTCTTTTGGTTTTGTTGTGGACGTGAAGGCTTCCTTCAACAGCAATTTTCGGTGCCTTATTTCCAATTTCTAATGTGCAAAATTTAGCATCATTTAATGATTCTACCACCTACTCTCTTTTTTGTGCTTTCTTAGTCTACCTGATCCCAATTATTATTTATTTATTGAAACTCACATCTGTGTTTGTTCCAAGACTTCATCTTTTACATCATCATAATTGTAATCATTGGACTTTTGGATTTATTGGATCCAATCATTCCTTGGTACTTCTTTGGGTACCTTCTATTTTCAATACCAGCAATCAGTGGCCGTGGCAGATTTACAATTCACATACCTTCAGGATCCTATCATTTCACTGTTGATTTGTTCAGACCGTATATTTGCTGGGACCCTAATAAATCTTCAGTTTCGTAATCTCCTGGGAAATACGCAACCACACATAATTTTGAAGTTGCCATTTTAGTAATTGTTGGGTTTTGTATGTATGATTTGGGAGTGGTTATGCCTGTGGGAATGGATATTCCTCCTCCTTTTAGTGTGATAGAGGACAAAGACAGTGCATTTACAATGGAAGATGATAAATCGGGAGATTTGGATAATCTAAAACCAATAGTCAAGGGTAAGCCTCCCAGGCATGTTTCGAGTTTGAGGCACAGCGTTAGCTCCACCAGATTGATGGCAGTAGCAGATTTGGTAAGTTTGACATTTTCATCTGATTTGGCTTTGTGGGTAGATTGGATTTTTCTTGCTATCTTTTGCCCCATGTTTTGTAATTTTGGCATAAAAATATTCTTAATGTCACTGTTTTTTGCTCTTTTGTTGCTAACTGCTATTTTCAGTTAGGCTTTTATCTTCTTTCTCTGTTTGCCTTAAGATTGTGAAGTTTTATGTTATGCTTTGCTCAAACTTTATGATCCATCTTGCAAAACTAAAATGAACTTACATGCTGTAAAGGTTTGTTATTCTTTCCAAATTTTTCTGGAACCTCACTTTGTTTTTAACATCAATATAATTTACTTCTCCATTTCGTAATTTGGAAAGTGTTGATTACTGATTTTTCTGTTTCTCTCCACTTTTTTAAGAGTTTGGATGTGGGGGTTACTGGAAAGTCATCTTCTGAAGAAAAGACGGAATTTCTACCAATATTTCGGTCAGGAAGTTGTGCTGAAAGAGGACCCAAACAGTATATGGAAGACGAACACGTATGCATTGATGATCTTATTCAGCATATAGGTCCCGCCTCAACTATTCCTTTACCTGGAGCTTTTTATGGGGTTCGTATGTTTTGTTTGTTTTACCTGGCTTTATAATTTACACACATGCTATTGTGATAAAGCCTGATTTTTTTGGTTAACACACTGCTTTACATGTTACTTTGATGCATTTGTTCTTCTTTATCCTCTAAGTTTATGTTTCATCAGAAAGTTGTGTTTTACAATCCAACCTTTCTCATACTGCAATATTATTATTGATGAGATGAAATATGGCTGATGTTCGATTTCCGTTACATTTGACTAAGCTGGTAACTGGGACAAATGAATTATGTAGACCATAGGAGATGATTCTTTTCTTTACTAGCAGATACTGTTTTGTTCCATTCATTTTGTTGCTCACATGGTATGATCTAGACACTATATTATTGTTTTCATGTTAAGTTCAGCAATTGATTAACTTCTACTAATTGTTCAGGTGTTTGATGGCCATGGAGGTACAGACGCAGCTTTGTTCATAAGAAATAACATCCTCAAATTCATAGTTGAGGACTCCCATTTTCCAACTTGCGTGGGGCACGCAATTACAAGTGCGTTTCTGAAAGCAGATTATGCATTTGCAGATTCAAGTTCTCTTGATATCTCCTCTGGGACCACTGCTTTAACTGCTCTTGTATCCGGAAGGTAATCAATTTCGATTATGATCATATTAATTATTTAATATCAATGATTCTGTATCAGTTCACTGATGATGGCAAGCATTAGTTGCCTTCCTAGCATATCGGTTTTTAGATTATACTGTAAATTTTATATGTGGAAGTCGGTTCATCATCACCCTAGCAGTAACCGATAACATTATAGTGGGACTTATTTAATCAACTTTTCTGGAAAATATTCCGGTATCTTACTCCTTTAAAGTTAACAATTCACTTTCAAGTATAAAGTAAGTAAATCAAAATAGTGGTTGATGAAGACATTTAACACTCAATTATTACGAACAAATACCTGGTAAATCATAAATGTATTAGAGCTTAGAATATAAAAAAATTGATATCCTCATCAATGACTGAAGTTATTTACCTTATCCTTATATCCTGAATATAAAGGAATCAGATAAAAAATTCTGAAGATTGATTCTCTCGTCAATGACGGAAGTTAGTCAATGACGGAAGTTATTTAATACTCACATAACCATTATAAAGGAACCGAATCTAAAATTCTTAGTAACTATAGAAGTGATTTGTTGTTTTGCTCTTTGGACATGGGAGGCAAAAGTTAGGGTAAGAAACTTACGAGTTTTCAACATGCATGTTATTGCCCCATGTGGAGACTGCATTGCAATGCAAATGC